TGAATCTGGGATCTGTCAGCATGTCTGACACCCTCAGCTCTGCAGCCATACGCTGCTCTGACACCAGAGGAGTCCTCATTTCTCTCATATCTTGTCTGCTGCCTCTGACAACGTGCATGTGCATGCATGTGCGTGCATGTGAGTGCATGTGCGTGCATGTGCGTGCATGTGCGTGCAAGTGTTACTGGTTCTACATCTGCACATGTGTCTACTGACGTGTGTATGTGCACATTGTGTTGATCGCCTGCATCATCTGTTGTGTTAACGGAAAAACGGAAATTCACTGCTGAGATGGCATAAGGCGCCGTGTGTGTGTGTGTGTGTGTGTGTGTGTGTGTGTGTGTGTGTGTGTGTGTGTGTGTGTGTGTGTGTGTTAGAAAAGTCAGAGTGATGTGTTGCAGGGGGAAACCAGGGCTACACATTTATCTGTTAGTATGGAGGTAGGGGGCTGATGGCCCTAATTTATCTCATATAGGATAGCAATAAAGTTTGTGTGTGTGTGTGGGGGGGGGGGGGGGTGCATATATGTGTGTGTGTGTGCGTGTGTGTAGTGGGTTCTGCTGTTATGTGATTATCTGTTAACTCAGTTATCGTGTAGCTGGGGGTCTCGGGGGCACTTGACAGAGAAAATGATAGCACCCCACGCTCTGCAGTGAAATGCTGGACGGATCCTTGCTCTGCTTCTGTGTTCTTACAAACACCTTGTTTATTTATTTATTTATTTATTTATTTATTTATTTATTTATTTATTTATTTATTTATTTATGTATGTTTTATAGCAGACTCTGCTTCTACTCTCTGGTTGAATTCCTGAGAGGAAGCATTTGATCTAAATTCTCGACGGTTGTGACAGAAAGAGCTCAAAGTGAGACCACCCTACGAAGGAAGCTCATTTTGGCCGCTTGTATCCAAGATCTTGTTCTTTTGGTCATGAAGCCACTTTAACGTGGGGAGGGGTTCACACGTGATCCTGGGATCTATGTTACTGGGGGGCATCAACCCCTGGTAGGGTCTCCCATGGAAAATAGGCCCCCGGGCAGGGGTCAGATCAGAAATGATTTTCAACCCTTGATTGAAAATCAAGAGACACGTCAGGAAACGTCGCCTGGAAAAGGGAAGGGCACCTCCCTGGAGACAGTCCTGGGGGGAGCCTGCTGGCAAGTGCCTCGTGGTGAAGCCTTGGCTCCTGGTCTCGACCGGGCCACGCCCGAAGACGAGACAGGATGCCACCTCCACCTGGTCCGCCCCCTGCGAGGTGGAGTGCCATGTTGACCGGGCAGCAGGTGAGGGAGGGGCGCAGGCAGTGCCGAGTCCTGGTGGAATAAACTTTAATCATCCAGGGGAAATAAATATTTTATGGATTTTGTTTCTTTAACATTTTCATTGTTATGGTCTTTGACTTGTAGTTTATTAAAATGTGTACTTCCTAAACTTTTACCATGACAAATAAAAAAAGTCGTGCAACATTTACAATGAACATGTAAAACGTGTTAGATGTTGCGTTCCTTACGTAAAGATGCTGTTTGATTGACAGACCGCTGCAGAAGTGCCCGAGCCCCGAGTTTAGACATAAGCTAAAAAAATAGACACAATAACAAGAAAAATATCCAAATGGATGCCTGGAAATAAAATTACCAGCCCAAAAACACACTGCAGGCGTGAAGCATCATCTGCA